ACCTAGGACCTGTCTGCCATGGGTGACCCTACCAGGGGCATAAAGCCCCAGACAGCATAGCTCCTAGGATCATTGGGACACTCAAACCCCTCCACCACGATAAGGTAGCAGCCCAAGGAGAGGTCAACCAACTCATAAAGTTTTAATAATTTCAATTTATGAAATAATATGTTGGATGGTGTTTTCTGGTCATAATTCTGACGGCTGTTTTCTGTAAAATAAAAATAGGATTTGTGWTTGTTTTACATGTTTTACCTCAGACTTCAACTTCAACATCTGATCTCATCAGTGTGGTTTGTCCATCATCACCAACTGATCAGTTGTTTTATTCCATCCTTTCAGCTGATCAGTCAAGAAGCCAACAAGGGGGTGGAATATGAATATTACCTCCCCAATGGACGGTCCAGGGAGGGCTACTACTGGAGCTTTGGATCCTGGTCTGCCTGCAGCAAAGACTGTGGATCAGGTCAGAGAAAAGCCTCGTGTTAGTTTATCAGCTCCTCTCTGTTCTTTTCTTTTCTTTTTACTTGGATCCCATTAGTTGCAGTTTCTGCAACAAACTTTCATCTGTCCTTCCTCACTCTGTGGAGAAACTCAGCTCTGGACTCTCATCAGGTCACCAGACTCGGCTGGTCTTCTGCACCATCGACAACGAGTCGTATCCAGACTACCTGTGTGCCTCTCTGCCAAGACCACCGTCAAACCGGACCTGCAACCCCCACCCCTGCCCACAGATCCACAGGTAAACAGACTTCAGCACGTCTCTGCCACACTTCGCTTAGAGACTGAGACACTTTTTAACTTACTTTTAGTCTCATCTTTTAGCTAAGAATTTATTTACACTTAAGTCCATTCCTATAAACATTCCTAAGAGTAATTCTTAGAAGTTTGATAATTACAGGAACTGAGCAAACTGGCCAAGAGATACATGTTACACAGAGTAACACAAGTATTAGTCAGTCATGACCTCAGAAATTATATCATGGTGAAAAATGTAGTTCCCTTTTCTGTGGGTGACTTGACTCTCAGGAGATGATATTAAAACATCAGGTGTGTGTTTGTTTGGTGTGAGGTGTGTGTTAATTAGGGCTGGGTATCATGGCCAATTCTCTAAATCGATTCAATTTAGATTCATTAAGTTCAGAATCAATTAATCACGATTTGATTCGATTCAATGAAAATGTTTATTGATACTGTATTATCACCATTTTTTCTCTTTAACGTAAATGACAGGTTTCAAGGACAAACTGTTAAATTAAACTGTTTAATCTTGAAAGAAAACTGTCACAAGTATAAAAAGTTTTAAAGTAAAAAGGAATTGCAGGTGACAGTGCTGTTGGATGCATTCATTTTAAAGTAATTAATTGTTTTGATAAATAATAAGTAATGAGAATAAGGTTGCAGGAGAAGAGGTGGGTTAATATAAATATACTTCTGCCCACTCTTTATGAGTGTATAAAAATTGTGAATGGGTTTTCTGAACTGTAATTTCATTGTGCTCTGTACAATGACAATAAAGGTTTATCTTATCTTATCTTATCTTATCTTATCTTATCTTATCTTATCTTATCTTATCTTATCTTAAAACAGTATATTTGTAATGTTTCTCTTACCTTCTGTTGTTATGTTCAATAAAACTTATTTTAATACATATAAGTTATTAAAACAACTACAAAATTGTCATGATTTGTCATTTTATGCCTTGGTTTTTCCTAGTGTTTCTATGTTCCCCTGTGTGTCTCAGCTCAGCTGCCCCACGTCACGCTGCTGATTACCCTTGTGTTTCTCCCCAGGTGTTTTCTGTTCCCTCATTAGTTTTCTGTGTGTTTAAGCTCAGTCTTGTCTCTGTTTCATTGTCGGATCATTGTTCTAACTACCTGGTCGTGTCCTGTTCCATGTTTTCCATCTACCACCAAGTCAAAGTGAGTTTTGCTGTTTTTCAGCCTCCCTGAGTTTTGCATTAAAGGCCTTGTGCCGTTTTTGATTTTTGACATCTGCCTGTGCCCTGGGTTATTTTGTTGGTCCTGACATAATGATCCGACCACGCACCCAGCCCACAGCCACCCTGTTTTCGGGTTTTTTTAAAGAGGAGCAAGATTTTTTTCTTGCCACCCCTCGGCGCACCGGTCTTTCTCCTCTCACTGTTGGAGTCCACCAGCGTCACCTGGGCCAGCATCGACTGCTCTTCCTCCTTCTGCCCTTGAGGAGCCGGTCCCGTCCTTGCCCCCCTGGGAGGAACAGGTGACATACCCCATCATTGGAGGGTCGGTGAAGATCCTCAGGGGGATCTCAATGCACTCCAACAGACTCTCCATCTGCCGGCAGATAGAACGCGTTCTGGGGGAGGGCCCAGATCTGCTCCTCCTGCCAGGCCATCAGCTGCTCCACCGGTTTGTGCAGAGGGTTTTGGGAGAGTCATCTGGTACCCACCCTCCCGCCCCTTCTGCTCCTCCTGCGCCGGTTGTTGGGGTTCCTGAGCCGGTGTTTCTGGTTCCAGTTCCAGTGGTTCCTGAGTTGAAGGTCCCGGTGGTTCCACAGTCGGTGGTTCCACAGTTGGTGGTCCCGATGTCTCTGGTATTGGCGAGGCCCGAGTCGGCGGTCTCTGAGGTTCGTGAGTCGGCTGCCGGTGCCTCCACAACATCTGGGTCGGCTGCCATTGCTTCCTCATCGCCTCCTCGTCGCCTCCATGTCGCCTGGGTCGGCTGCCGTCGCCTCCATGTTGCCTGGGTCGGCTGCCGTCGCCTCTTGGTCCCCTCTGTCTCCTGTGTTCGCCGTCGCCAAGACTCTGGCTCCATCAACCTCCGACGGCTCCTCATCGCCTCCTCGTCGCCTCCATGTCGCCTG